CCCCGACCGGTGCGCTCCACTTCCTGCGTGAGCCGGCGCCGCTGCTGCCACGGCTACCGCCGCCGTCGAGTCATGTGATAATCAGGCTGCTAGGGCTCTAGCTGCTGCTTTGGCCGGAGCTCAGCCCCTCCCCTGCCGGCCCGAGCGAGGCTCGCACTAGGATCGAGACCTCCTAGGGAAGGGGGAGCCGGGGAGCCAGGGAGCCGGGCAGGGTCTGTACCTGGCGGTGGGGATGGGGGCGCTGTGAGCTGAGCTGGTACAGGTGTTAGGGGACGTCACGTGGGGCCAGGCAGCCTGGAAAAGCCAGTTGAGGAATCCGCTCTCAGAGGAATGCTGCCTACACCTCTGAGAAAGGAAACTTGAGAGCCGGAGGAGGAAAGGAGACAGGTGGAAACCTGGTGGGACGCTCCAAGTCCTCCAGTGGAAATGAGGAACACCTGGCGCGACAGACTTTTCAGAGCTTTAAAAAGCAACCACCTAAATAGATGCACAAGAATCATTAGACGTTTTTCCCTAGGCATTTCTAGAATCACTTTAGTTGTTCATTATCACCGCACGCGTCATCATCTGCAGAGCAAACCCTGTTTCAAACCCAGAGTAAGCTTTATGGCGAAGAAAACAAAAGAAATCAGAAGCAAGCCCTATTTTACCGAGTACTTCAGTGCTTTATAAATGTATACAAGCATTTTCTTCCAACATAGCAACAACAGTATCTTTTCAAAGCTGACCCTCTTTACTATTGAGAAACTTAGTGCAGCCTTTTTTTTTTTTTACTTTGTAGTGTTGTTACAAAAGTAACATTTTAAAACTAAAGGAAATAAAATAGAACATGGCAACTCAATGAAATGCTAAAGTAAAAAATGAATGTTTGCCACGATAAAAATTTCTGGTGGTCTTGTATTAAAACAAAACAGAAAATTATGAAAAACAGATGAATGTGCTTCATTAGGCATAACATTTGTTAAATACTGGCTTTTGCAAGAGAGCTGTATCCTGTCCATGTTTACTTACTCTGTATCCTGTTCCTATGTTTACCTACCATTTAATTTGCCAGGATTCTGTCTTGTGGAGTTATGCAGTGAAGGCTTACTTGGAGTTCAGGAGGAAATACAGGCTCTCATTTTTCTTAGGAAGTGTGTGTGTGTGTGTGTGTGTGTGTGTGTGTGTGTGTGTTGTGGGGGGGGGGGGCAGCCCAGGTGTGTTGGAGAGGATACTAATTCTCTGAAGAGGAATTGGAATCCTTGCTCTAAGCCTAAGGGGAAGCCTTGGTAAACCTCGTTGATTCCTTTTATAATATTTTTAAAGCATTTTCCCCTTTGGCTTTTTTCAAATTACAATTTACATTCAATATTATTTTGTATTTAGTTTCAGGTGTACAGCATAGTGGTTAGATAACCATCTATTTTACAAAGGAACCATCTATTCCCTACCTCCACCCTCAGATAATTCCAGTACCCACCTGGCACCATATATATTTATTTCAGTATTATTTACTATTTTCCCTATGCTGTACTTTACATCCCTGTGACTGTTTTGTAACTACCAATCTGTACTTCTTAATCCCTTTCACCTTTTTCACCCATTCCCCCAACCCCCCTCCCCTCTGGCAACCATTAGTCTGTTCTCTGTATCTGAGTCTTTTCAATTGTTTGTTCATTTATTTTGTTCTTTAGATCCCACATGTAAGTGAAATCATATGGTATTTGTCCTTCTCTGACTGACTTATTTCACTAATGAAAAATTTCATTCCTTTTTACTCCCAAGTAATATTCCATTATATATATATACTAGAGGCCCAGTGCACAAAATTTGCACACATTAAAAGGGAATTAATTAGAGGAAATATTTTAATATTGCTATTTGCCCATTCTCTATAACAGAAGTGTCAGAGATGAAAGAAAATTATTAAAATGTATATGAAAATATCCCTCCTGTCAGAATCTGGGGCACGCCGCGGGACCCAGAGTCAGGTCTCCACCCACCTGCTCATGCCTCAAAATCGTGTGAGACCCATACCCAGCCGGCCCCATGCCCGTCAAGCCCCACAGGGCGAGGGGTGCAGCCTCAGGTCCCCCGGCCCGGCGCCGGGCAGGGGGCACGGCCTCAGGTCCCCAAGCCCAGCCTCAGGTTCCCCAGCCCTGGCGCCGGGGTGGGGGGCGCGGCCTCAGGTCACCTGGCCTGGCCTCAGGTCCCCTATCCCTGGCACGAGGGTGCAAGGGCGAGAGGGTGTGATGACCATTTGCATATTAGCTCTTTATTATATAGGATGTACCACTGCTTTTTATCCACTTGTCTATTAATGGGCACTTGGGTTGTTCCCATACCTTGGCTATTATAGATAACCCTGCAATGAACACAGGGGTACACAGATTCTTTTGAATTAGTGTTTTAGGTTCCTTTGGATATATACCCAGAAGTGGAATCGCTGGGTCACCCTTTGTCTTTCTCATGAATTGGCACTCCGGTTTTCTAGACACCAAATAATTATGTAAAACACAACAACATTCAAACTTTAGTGAAATAACATTCCTGTCAATGAGTTCTTTTATTACTTTTCACAGAACAGAAATGTAATTTTATCTTGGCCCCTTTTTCTAATTTTAAATTTGGGAGCAAAATCCTAAATGAACAAAAACAATCTTCTCAACCTTTGCTTTGCTAAACTATACTTCCAATGGGAAATCTCTATGTAGTGGCTAACCATCCAACCAACCACATGCTCAGATAAACTTACAACCCCTCTCTCAAGCTTTTGTTGTAGGACAATTGCCTTTAACCATGTCCTTTGGAGACCCCAGTAACTTCTATTGAGATTAATATGTTCTTCCCTTCATTTCACTTTATGACAATGCTTTAGTATTTACTAAAAATAGGATTAACAAATTCTTGTCTCATTTATTTTCAATTTAAAAGTAGTATCGGATCATCCTATATAATAAAAGGCTAATATGCAAATCGACTGAAGAGCGGAACAACCGGTTGCTATGATGCGCATTGACCACCAGGGGGCAGGTGCTCAATGCAGGAGCTGCCCCCTGGTGGTCAGTGTGCTCCTACAGAGAGAGTGCTGCTCAGCCAGAAGCTGGGCTCATGGCTGGTGAACACAGCGGTGTCACTAAGGATCCCTTGGGGGATGTCCGATTTAGGTGGGGAGCGGGCCTAAGCAGTCAGTCAGCATCCCTTGAGGGGTCCCAGACTTCGAGAGGGCACAGGCCAGGCTGAGGGACTCCTCTCCCCCAGTGCACGAAGGTTGTGCACCAGGCCTCTAGTAGTCAATAAATAAATAAAATTGAATAGTACAGAACTGTAAGTGAGAAAGTAATAGACTCCAAAACATTGCCCCAGTGTTTGCTCAGAGAAGGGCATGTGGTTCACAAAAATTCAGAAATCAAGCAATTAAAGACAGCTTCTTAACTAAGAACTATGGACTCAGCTTACTTTTTATTCTCTTAAAGGATCGGTCTTGCTCTATGCCAGTATGTGTGACTACCATCTAGAATGTCTTGAAATGCAAAATTAGTTTCGTGTCCTTTTTGTCATCAACTACATTTGAATAGAAGGAGACTTTATGCTTGCCTGTAAGTATTGTTAGGGCCAGCTTTTCAAAACCAAAACAATGTAGAATGTCATGGCAAATAATCTCTTATTTTATTTGAAAACATGACTGCCCATCCCAATTACTCTGGTTATTCTTGTATAATGAACATATCCTACTTTTATCATGTTTTTTCTGTTTACTCTAGCAAATTTAAAAAATTAATTTATTGTTTCATTTCTCTTCAAATTGCATTGGCTGTGGAAAATTGGCATATTAGTTTTGCAGTTCCTTGACTAGCAACAGCAGCATCACCTGTAAACTTGTTGGAAAAGCAAATTCTCTGGCCCCATCTCAAACCTATTGAATTAGGATCCCTGGAGGTAGAGCCCCAAAATCTAGCTTAACAAGCCCTCCAGGAGATAGAAACCGTTCAAAAAACATTGGCAAATGGAAAACATGTACTATTTACTTAATGGACAGGCAGGCATAAAAATGCAAGGACTATATCAAATAAGAAAGTAAGCAGTGGTCAACGTGCTTGGACTGTAAACGGATACAGAATGAGAACAGCCATGAACAAAACTCATGAACTGGATCTGTTCAGACACATTATGAACTGTCCCTTTCTGCTTGATTTCTGTGGGCTTTATGTTAGTGTAAAGCCCTCAGTACATTTGCTGTGGGCAGATATGTAAATTCTTCAGCCTGTGGGAAGCTGCGGAGAAGGAAGTAGGATTGACCACTGCAGGGTGATCATCTCTTAGGCTGGCTACCCAACAGGCAGTCTGTCTATGCACATGTTTCTGTCATGTGCAAAGCAGTGGCAGTTTAAAAAGTGGCATATAAATACATTTGTATAAATAAATATATATTACATGTATTTTTGTTGATTTTAGAGAGAAGGAGAAGAAGGGGGGGGGAAGAGAGTAGAGGGAGAGAAACATTGATTTGTTGTTCCACTTATTTATGCATTCATTGGCTGATTCTTGTATGTGCCCTGACCAGGGATCGAACTCAAAACCTTGGTCTATCATGATGAGTTCTAACCAACTGAGCAACCCAGTTAGGGTCTATAATATATATTTAAGTCTACGTGGTTTGTTTGTTGTTGTTTTTTGTTTGTTTGTTTTTTGGAATTGTTTTTAAAAGAGCCAATGTGGTCATTATTAGGAAAAAACATTCTTAGCCTTCCTCACATTTGTTATATAGTTTTGTATTGTTTTTTAGTTTAATTGCTG